TCAAAATGGTCATAAAGAAAAATCCTTACCCCCAAACCTGGCTTATTGTGCTCTTAGATATTTTATATATATTGGAAGTCATGTAATTTCAGTGGTAAAGAATGAACATCACAAAAATGAACTTCAACAGGTTTCAAGCAGTTATGATTTTCTCTTTCATTATGCAGCCCTTGTGCCAAAGAATTTCCTTTTGGGATACTACCACTCCCCATCCTCTTTGTTTACAATGACAGCTGGACTCAGAAGTGCAAGCCCCGTATCACCACCAGTGCTGACAGCTCGACCTGCACATTGTACCCCTGAGCAGGCTTGGACACAGATGGGGTCAAGTGTGATTGACTTTGTGTCAGTGAAGAAAGTGTTGCAATCTGATTCCTGCAGTGGCTGTCACTGGTGCTGGGAGCTCTGGCCAGCCAGCCACACAAGGTCAGGGTGTCATTAATGCTCTCAGTCAAGCAGATGGCTCTTGTCTTCTTGTAATTGGAAGATTTGGGAGTACAGGCCCAAAATAGGACCAAAAAATGGCAGAAAAAGATGCGTTCTTTTAGGCTACGTCTGTGTGGATCAAACGTTTCTACTGACAGTAGCTCTGAGGGCAAAAAGGCCAAATACATGTCACTCTGGGGATCTAAGCAAGAAGCAGAAATGACAAAACATGTTTAAAATTTGTGGCTTGTCTCAGTAAGGAAAATATTCTATTTTGGTCCATACTATATTTGTTTTCATTAAAATATTTCAAATACATATCACTAATGCTTGAGGGAGATGCATCAGATTTCACATTACGATCTGCTTTGGCACATCCTGACACCCGGGTGGGTACTGTACCACAGCGAAGTATCCACACTCCAATTGGAGAAGAATCCATACCTATTTACTTTTGCAACACCAAGGAACACCAGCATCAAGGTTTTATAAAGTAATTCAAGCCTTAAAGGATTTTGGATTATAGAGAAATAAGAATAAGCTAAAATAGGAGGCTCACAGATTTTTGTCTACGTCATAGCCATGGCATTTGTTAGCTAAGAGGGCAAGGGACTGTTTTGAGGGCTGATGTGTGCTGGGTTGAGCAGAGCACTGACAAATGTGTCCTATGGTTACACACACAAGTGGGAAGCCAGCAGAGGTCTGCCTCTGTTTTTGGTGGCAGATGTGTCATTGTCAATGAGAAGAGACATCACTTGGGCCACAGCTGGAAAGATGACATGTGAGAAACTCTTTGTGTCTTTCAATGTACACAATAGCTTTGGCTATCTGAAATAGAGATATGAATATGTCACTTCAAAAAAAGCAAAATGGGCAATATGTGATCCCAGTGTATTTGCCATAGTTTTCATTAGATTATCTCAGTGTTCAGCTCTGGGATGCCTACTGACAATCCTGAAGTGACTGTACTAAGGAAACTGCAGTTCTTATTTTATTGCATTAATCTGTCCCTTTGTCCTTCAGGTTTGGATGTAGATACCCACCCGGTACTGATGAGCTGAGCTTTTTCAGAGTCAGAGGCCCATGAGGCCCACAGAGGTTGTTCATACAGTTCATTTTTGAGCCAGTTATAGTCTCGGTCTGCCTCCTCCAGACCCACTGTCCTTGCTTCTCTATGCCCCTTGGGAGATGAGTCTAGTGGACCACAACAACTGGGCTCCCTTTCCCTCTGGCTTCCCACTGATTCTGCCCAGTGGTATGTGCCCGCAGGACAGCAGAGTGTAGGAGCACAGAGTTTAGGATACTGATTCCCTGGCTCACCCTGTACATATGGCTTCTCTGGTTGGTTCTTCTCTCCATAGGGTTCCAGCCATTCTTTCCAGGCTCTGGTATGCTGCTCTGTCCTTGCCTCTTGAAGCCTCATGGTGGTGAGGATGCCTCACTGTTGCTGGCCCCTCATGTTTCTGCACCCCTTTTGGTTCCTTCAATCCTGCCCACACCTCTGTAATATTCCTTTCATTGAATACTCTCCAGTTAAATACTTTTGAATGTTTCATGACTTTCCTGCTGGGAACTTGACTGATAAAAATTCCTTTAGGAAGAATAGTACTTTAATCATATACTTGGGGTCATCAATTTATTTGCTCATATGTTTTTAATCTTGAAACATAATCCTATGTGCCAGGTGTGGTGTCAGGTACTGGACGTAAGAAGAGTAAACATGACATACACTTGAACTTTCTTTTACTGAAGATGTTTTAGGAATTTCAAATTCATAATCTGTATTCAGTCACTTATGCAGGTGCTTAGTGTTACTTACAGTAAGGAAATGAGGCATCACGTAGAACATCCCAATCTTGTTTCCTTACAGAACACCATCACATCTGCAGTGTTCATCTTTTAGAGAAGTAAACTGTTTTTTTATGCTTCCTAACATTTACCACACAGATAGATTATATTAAAAAGAATAAGTACACTGCTGAATTTCTAGAAAAATGGGTTGAGTAGTTCTGATTAAACTTTTTGATTAGTAGAGAGTAGCCACACGAATCACAAATTTTTAAGAGAATTACAATAAAATATTCTTTTTTTAAGAGTAACATATTCTCTTTTTTAAAAGACTTTATTTATTCCTGAGACACACACACACACACACACACACACACACACACACAGAGAGAGAGAGAGAGAGAGAGAGAGAGAGAGAATGGGGGAGGGGCAGGGGGAGTCTTAAACAAACTCTGAGCTGATCACAGAGCCCAGTGGGAGACTCAATCCCACAATCCTGAGATCACAACAGGAGCAGAAACCCAGTTGATCGCTCAACTGACTGCACCACCCAGGCACCCTGAAAACTGAAGTACTAATGAGAAAAAAGTGTACATACTTTTTATTCCATAAAAATGTCAACACGTTGGAAGAATATGTGAGGAATGAAAATGAGCCCGATTTTTGAGATTGTGTAAGTCCATTCTCCATAGGAAATTGGATATTTTTCACTCTTTTAGACACTAGATCACTTTCATTCAATATGTACATTCCTGTAGTACAATTTAAGTCATATCTTGAATACACTGGGTTTTATCCTAGACGCCTAAAAACAGTAGTTTTGCTTCCCTGGCATGTCTTCCTGTGAGGAAACTAGGAATTGAACAGGTACACTTCACAGAAAGCAGTGTTTGTAAAATCACCCAGGAAAAAAGATGCATGCAAAAACACTGCATTCTTCTGAATGGAGCTCCAGAACAAGAAAGAGAGAAAGGAATTGTCTGAAAGACACTGCAAGCTAGGGATTAATTTCAGGTTCAAAACTGAATCCTCTGTGGCTTTCTCTACAAACCTGACAATGTGGATTTTTCTTGGGCCTAGTTACTCAGCTAGAAGTTCAGGATGGTTGTTTCATTTGGGGACTGTTGGGTGTATCTGAATTATCCTGGCCAGTATGTAGTTTTTTCATTATTATTATTATTATTATTATTATTATTATTATTATTTACATTTGTGAAGGGTTCATATCTTTCTGACCTATTGGAAGCCCAATGAATATCTGTTGAATTGAACTGAGTTTAAAATATTTTTTTTTAGGGGCAGCCCGGGTGGCGCAGCGGTTTAGCGCCGCCTGCAGCCCAGGGCGTGATCCTGGAGACCCTGGATTGAGTCCCACGTCGGGCTCCCTGCTTGGAGCCTCTGTCTGTGTCTCTGCCTCTCATTCTCTCTGTTTCTATGAATAAATAAATAAAATCTTTAAAATATATATATATATATTTTTAGGATTTTATTTTTAAGTAATCTCTATACTCAACAATGGAGATCGAACTCACAGCCCCATGATCAAGAGTCATGCCAGCCAGGCACCCCAAGTTTAAAAGAATGTTGATCCTGGTAGCTGAGCAAATTATAAGATGAGGGAGAGAGATTTTCTGTTGGTAGATAAGTACCCAGACAGGAATTAGAACTGGAAATTGAGTGCAAATTTCTCATCTTACAGAAGGGGAAGTGAGATCAAGAGTTAAAAAAGTTGCTTGGAAAAATCTCTCTCTGGCTGGGGAAGCTGATGCTGTCCAGCATGGAAGCAAAGCCAGGCTGACAATATGTAGGGACTTCTCTACATATATATGCAGATCACGTGGCAGCGAAGGGCCTTCTTGTCTGCTCTTTAGTATGGGGGGAAGGGGGAGGAAGGCTACTTGAAATTTTTTTTTTTTTGGAAATAGTTTTTATCATGTGCCATGTTGACTTATGAATAGGTTATGTCTGAAACACAAATTTAAAAAGGATTTGCCTAAGAAATACCTAAAAGATGATGACGGGAATAAAGACGTGGATTTCAAAATAATTTGGAAACTCTGATTTATGTGACATTAGCTGAGGCATGCTGATGGTAATGTATATTGCCAACTGAAACTTAGTTAAGAAGGAATTGGGCAGTAAAGGGATTATGCAACTCTTCAACTTTTTTTCAATCTCCTTTATACTTGCATGTTGAAAAAAATCATGTTATTGTTTTTGGATCCTCTTTTATAAGGGAATTTACAAAAGAAGGGACAGCTGATGAAAGGATTTCCCTACATAAGTAGCTCTGATAAAGACTTGTGGAGGAAAAGTGAGCAATTGGCAAAAAGGAGCTTTAGGCTTCTCTGCAAATTTGTTAGGGCATGCTCATCACAATAACTTGGTACACTGGAAGAAGGTGGACAGTATGTATAGAGTTGAAAGGTACTTCATGTCCAGCGTCAATGGGCAAAGAGAAGCCAACCCTTGTGTTCTTGACTTTTGATTTAATTGGTGACAGTGGCTTTCACTAGTTTCAGAAACAAAGTAAAAGAAAATAGGAAAAGGAAAAGAAGAGCACAGTCTAATCCTTTGTGGGCTCAGTCTTTTCTCTGCGTATGTGTATCTTTCTCTCTATGTATCTATACAGTCACATGTCTATATTTGCACATATCACCAGAATAGATATATCACCAATGACAGTACAATATCATTGATAACTCAGAGCTGCTAAGCTCTAAAGACATATAGTCTCATTCTGTTGTTAGGAGATGTATTTTGAGTATTAAAATCCTTAAAGTCTTTCAGTCAAATGAGCTACAAGCACTCTGCTTATAGTCAGATGGTGTCATTGATGAAAATGGTGGTTTTATCTGGTTCTCCAAGCACTGCACCCACTGGCATCAGGAGAACTAATTTAAACCTCTCAGGACCCTCCAAGGTGCGCTGTTTCAGGTCACCAAGGATCATCACTTGGAATATCTGCATATGCACTCCCGGAGCAAAGTCCAGATTTTGGCTGATGCCAACGTGGTCTATTCCAGCTAATGGGAAAGGAAAATTCAAGAGTGAGATTGTAGGATTCATTGTCATAAATTTTCCCTCAGAGAAAAATTTCCTTCAAAGAAAAACAGCATTCTCCTACATACACAGCACTCTCAGAATCCTAGTTTGTGGGCTCAACCCCAGAAAGGGGGTTTCCATATTCTACTAAATGCAATGATAGTCTTGCTCATCCACGATCATAAAGCCATCCTCATCAGTGTTCTCTATGTTGAGACCAGGCACAACATTTTCTAAGTACTTCCACAAAAATCCCACCAATAGACTGAAGGCTCTCGGAAGGCAACTTCAATTTGTAGGGAAGAAATTCACTTTTTTAATTATTAAGGACACTATCATGAATTTTGTTTTCATTAGGTTTCACTCATTCACCTTTGCCGGATATTTGGTTAATATTACCACATTCCACTCGATTTTACTAAGGCATGGAGTTTCTGCCACTTCCTGGGTTATTAGTTACTTTGTAAATTGGATCACCCAATCATGTAGTTTCTTTGCTACTCATTTAAAAAGTCATCAAATGTAATGATAGCAATTATAACCAATGGAATAAAATAGAAAACCTTAAGTGATATAAATAAATATGTTAGTAAATTGAGGAACAGAATATTTATATTATCTCAAGGTATCTCTCCATAAAAAGCATATTTTTTTATAAAATATTTTAATATTGGAGTTCAATTTGCCAAAATATTGCATATCACCCAGTGCTCATCCCGTCAAGTCATAAAATACATATTAATTGCAAAGGAAGAAAAATAACTTTGTAGTGGGGAAACCTGGCAGATACCACTTAACCAGGTGATCAAAGTTAACAGCACCATTGATGAGAAAATGGGAACTGTGTGCCATTTGATAGAATCCAGCAAGAACACAGTGTCATATCTGCAAGCATTACTGCCAAAGATGCATAGTCTGAGTCTAATTATAAGGAAACATAAGACAAATCCCAAACTGAGGGACATTTTATATGTCACCAAACCTGATAATCATGAAAAATATCAAGGTCACGAAAGTCAAGGAAATACAAGGAACTATTTCAGATTGAAGGAAACTAAACAGACATGACAACTAAACAGAATGAAAATCTCAACTGGATTCTTGCTGTAAACAATGACTGGACAACACCTGGTGCATCTTGAATGAGGTTTAAGGATTTTTTTTTTTTTGGTGTTTTTTTTAAATTGGAGTTCAATTTGCCAACATATAGTAGAACACCCAGTACTCATCCTGTCAAGTGCCCCCTTATGTGCCTGTCACCCAGTCACCCCATCCCCCTGCCCAACACCCCTTCCACTACCCCTTGTTCGTTTCCCAGAGTTAGGAGTCTCTCATGTTCTTTCACCCTCTCTGATATTTCCTACTCATTTTCTCTCCTTTCCCCTATAATCTCTTTCACTATTTTTTATATTCCCTATATGAATGAAACCATATAATGTTTGTCCTTCTCTGATTGATTACTTCTGATTGACTCACTCAGCATAATACCCTCCAGTTCCATCCATGTTGAAGCAAATGGTGGGTATTCATCATTTCTAATGGCTAAGTAATATTCCATTACATATATAGACTGCATCTTCTTTATCTATTAATCTTTCAGTGGACACTGAGGCTCCTTCCACAGTTTGGCTATTGTGGACATTGCTGCTATAAACATCAGGGTGCAGGTGTCTTGGTGTTTCACCAGATCTGTATCTTTGGGGCAAATCCCAAGCAGTGCAATTGCTGGGTAGCTCTATTTTTAACTCTTTGAGGAATCTCCACACAGTTTTCCAGAGTGGCTGTACCAGTGCACATACCCACCAACAGTGCAAGAGGGTTCCCCTTTCTCCACATCCTCTCCAACATTTGTTATTTCCTGTCTTGATAATTTTCATCGTTCTTACTGGTGTGAGGTGGTATCTCATTGTGGTTTTGATTTGTATTTCCCTGATGGCCAGTGATGCGGAGTATTTTCTCATGTGCTTGTTGGCCATGTGTATGTCTTCTTTGGTGAAATTTCTGTTCATGTCTTTTGCCTATTTCATGATTGGATTGTTTGTTTCTTTGCTGTTGAGTTTGATAAGTTCTTTATAGGTCTTGGATACTAGCCCTTTATCTGATATGTCATTTGCAAATACCTTCTCCCATTCTGTAGGTTGTCTTTGAGTTTTGTTGACTGTTTCTTTTGCTGTGCAGAAGCTTTTAATCTTGATGAAGTCCCAATAGTTCACTTTTGCTTTTGTTTCTCTTGCCTCTATAGATGTATCTTGCAAGAAGCTGCTGTGGCCGAGTTCAAAAAGGGTGTTGCCCATGTTCTCCTCTAGGATTTTGATGGATTCTTGTTTCACATTTAGATCTTTCATCCATTTTGAGTTTATCTTTGTGTCTGATGTAAGAGAAAGGTCTACTTTCACTCTTCTGCACATGACTGTCCAATTTCCTCAATACCATTTGTTGAAGAGACTGTCCTTTTTCCAGTGGATAGTCTTTCCTGCTTTGTCGAAGATGAGTTGACCATAGAGTTGAGGGCCCATTTCTGGGTTCTCTATTCTGTTCCATTGATCTATGTGTTTGTTTTTGTGCCAGTACCACACTGTCTTGATGATTACAGCTTTGTAGTATAGCTTGAAATCCGGCATTGTGATGCCCCTGGCTCTGGTTTTCTTTTTCAATATTCCCCGGGCTATTCAGGGTCTTTTCTGATTCCACACAAATCTTAGGATGATTTGTTCCAACTCTCTGAAGAAAGTCCATGGTATTTTGATAGGGATTGCATTGAACGTGTACATTGCCCTGGGTGGCATAGACATTTTCACAATATTAATTCTTCCAATCCATGAGCATGGATTATTTTTCCAACTCTTTGTGTCTTCCTCAATTTCTTTCAGTAGTGTCCTGTAGTTTTTAGGGTATAGATCCTTTACCAAGAGATGAGGTTTATCCCTAGGTATCTTATGCTTTTGGGTGCAATTGTAAATGGGATTGACTCCTTCTCTTTCTTCAGTCTCATTGTTAGTGTATAGAAATGCCACTGACTTCTGGGCATTGATTTTGTATCCTGCCACACTGCTTAATTGCTATAAGAGTTCTAGCAATCTTGGGGTGGAGTCTTTTGGGTTTTCTATGTACAGTATCATGTCATCTGTGAAGAGGGAGAGTTTGACTTCTTCTTTGCCAATTTGAATGCCTTTTATTTCTTTTTGTTGTCTGATTGCTGAGGCTAGGACTTCTAGTACTATGTTGAATAGCAGTGGTGAGAGTGGACATCCCTGTCCTGTTCCTGATCTTAGGGGAAAGACTCTCAGTGTTTCCCCACTGAGAATGATATTTGCTGTGGGCTTTTCGTAGATGGCTTTTAAGATGCTGAGGAATGTTCCCTCTATCCCTACAGTCTGAAGAGTTTTGATCAGGAATGGATTCTGTATTTGCTAAAATGCTTTCTCCACATTTATTGAGAGGATCATATGGTTCTCGTTTGTTCTCTCATTGATGTGATCTATCAAGGTGATTGTTTTATGAGTGTTGAACCAACCTTGCATCCCGGGGATAAATCCCACCTGGTTATGGTGAATAATCTTCTTAATATACTATTGGATCCTATTGGCTAGTATCTTGTTGAGAATTTTTGCCTCTGTGTTCATCAGGGATATGGGTCTATAATTCTCCTTTTTGGTGGGGTCTTTGTCTGGTTTTGGAATTAAGGTTATGTTGGCTTCATATAACGAGATTGGTGGTATTCTGTGTCCCTTTCTATCTTTCGAAACAGCCTTAGTAGAATAGGTGTTGTTTCTCTTTTAAAAGTTTGATAGAATTCCCCTGGGAAGCCATCTGGCCCTGGACTTTTGTGTCTTGGGAGGTTTTTGATGACTGCTTCTATTTCCTCCCTGGTTATTGGCATGTTCAGTTTTCAATTCCTCCTGTTCCAGTTTTGGTAATTTGTGGTTTTCCAGAAATGCATCCATTTCTTCTAGATTGCCTATTTTATTGGCATATAGCTGCTCATTTTAAAATCATTTGTATTTCCTTGGCATTGGTTGTGATCTCTCCTCTTTCATTCATGATTTTATTACTTAAGTCTTTTTTCTTTTTAACAAGACTGGCTAATGGTTTATCTACCTTATTCATTCTTTCAAAGAACCAACTTCTGGTTTTGTTGATCTGTTCTACAGTTTTCTGGTCTCTATTTCATTGAGCTCTCTCGAATTTTTATTAACTCTCTTCTTCTGCTTGGTGTAGGTTTTATTTGCTGTTCTTTCTCCAGTTCCTGTAGGTGCGAGGTTAGGTTGTGTATTTGAGATTTTTCCAATTTTTAAGGGAGGTTTGTATTGTGATGTATTTCCCTCGTAGGATTGCTTTTGCTGTATCCTAAAGATTTTGAATGGTTTTATCTTCATTTTCATTAGTTTCCATGAATCTTATTAATTCTCCTCTAATTTCCTGGTTGACCCATTTATCTTTTAGCAGATGCTCTTTAACATTCACATGTTTGAATTTCTTCCAAATTTCTTCTTGTGATTGAGTTCTAGTTACAAAGCATTGTGGTCAGAAAATATGCAGGGACAATCCCAGTCTTTTGGTGTCGGTTGAGACCTGATTTGTGACCCAGTACGTGGTCTTCTGGAGAAAGTTCCATGTGCACTTGAGAAGAATGTGTATTCAGTTCCATTTGGATGCAAAGTTCTGTATATATCTGTGAAACCCATCTGGTCCAGCGTATTATTTAAAGCTCTTGTTTCTTTGGTGATGTTGTGCTTAGAAAGTCTGTCATTTGCAGAAAGTGCCATGTTGAAGTCTCCTACTATTAGTGTATTATTATCTCAGTATGTCTTTACTTTGGTTATTAATTGATAGATATACTTGGCAGCTCCCACATCAGGGGCATAAATATTCATGATTGTTAGGTCTCCTTGTTGTATAGACCCTTTAATTATGATATAGTGTCCCTCTTCATTTCTTAGTACAGTCTTTGGGATAAACTTTAATTTAGCTGATATGAGGA